GGGGTTGTGTTTTACGGCGCTCGCAACTGCATAAGGTTATAGATCTATGAGCGCACGGAATACACCAAATATTTTTAGTGGGTAGGAATTTTTTTCATTTTGCCCATGTGGCGGCCGAAGCCTACTCTTGCGGGGAGATGAAGAGTCCTCAGGTGATGTTGTGTGTGATAGTGTCTAGTACATGGAGTTGTCAGGATGAGCAAGATCAAATTATGGCTCTTATACTTCTTTTTTACCTTCTGAATGACAATAATCTGGCGTGTGGGTGGGTCCCCCCAGGTGCTCAGGTGTGGTTTGCTCCTTCTTTTCCTTTTAAAAAATCTATCGTTCTTATCCCCCCTCCTTTTTTGTGTTTGTTACTCTCTTGTAATACCTCTCATCTTCAACACATAAATGATCTAATTGTGTTGCTAGTGACGTAAAACACTTACTAAAACTAAAACCTCTGTAGTAACACCTTAAATCTTCGGCACTTATATCGTCGCTGGCATTCGTCATTGTCGTATGTCAAAATGCATTATTACCTAATCATGGTGCAAATGCCGTAAAGCGCTTTTAAAAAATTAAAAAGAATTTTTTTAACCACTCTGAGTGGAAACAATTTGTACGTCAGTACTTGGGGCGGAGTGTGAGAGGAATCCAATCAGTCAGGCACAATGGTGATGACAAATCTTTATATATTATATATATTATTGCATCTCACCAGGAAACATAATTCATTGTCGTGGTCGTTTACGATGGCAGTGGTGTTGCAAACTTATTTATGTCAAATAACTCGTTGTGTGAGACTAATCTAATTAGTCGAATACTTATCATGCGTGCGGGAATAATCTAATGAGTCGAATACTTCTCATACGTGTGGGAATAATCTAATGAGTCGAATACTTATCATACGTGTGAGACTAATCTAATGAGTCGAATACTTCTCATACGTGTGGAAATAATCCAATGAGTCAGATAGTCATTGTTGTGTTATGTGCGAGAGTGAACAAATAAGTTAGGTGTTTGTAATGTTTATCTGCGTGAGTGTTCCAATAAGTGGGATACTTGTAATGTTATGTGCACGAGTGTGCAAATAACTCAGGTATTTGTGCGTGGTTGGCGGGGACTCTGGTGTGGTTTTCTCTTTCTTTCCTATCAGACATCTATCGTCGTTATCTCCCCTCCTTCTTTTTTTATGTTTGTTACTCTCTTGTAACACCTCTAATCTTCGGCACTTATATGACCTTATTGTGTTGCAAGTGCCGTAAAACTCTTTCTGAAACCAAACTAAAATAAGTGGGATACTTTTCATGTTGTATGCCTGAGTGTTCACTCTAATTATCGGCACTTATATGGTCGCTTTTAAGGACAAACGGGCTAACCCAGATTTCAGGGATTTCTAGAAATCTTGACCTACACCAAAAGGGGACATTGCCCTACCTATAGATCTAGGAGAAGTTTAGTGTCATTGGTGTGTATATTTGTTTGGTTATAGAGAAAACGCTTCTTGTCTTTTAAAGAAACTGAACAAGGGGCAAAAACTTTACCTTCGATTTTCTCAAAACGACATATTTCGGGATATCCCCCTAGTAATTAAAAAAAGCGACCATTATGTCCTGATTGTGTTGCAAGTGCCGTAAAACTCTAACTAAACGTCAAGGAAACTAACCATGCCCTTGTTTTGTGTGGGTGTTTTGCGGCTGCTCTGGTGTGGTTTGCTCCTTCTTTCCTATCAACAAACATCTATCGTCTTTATCTCCACTCCTTTTTTTGTGTTTGTTACTCTCTTGTAACACCTCTAATCTTCGGCACTTATATGATCTTATGCAGTTGCGAGCGCCGTAAAACTCTTGCTAAAACTAAACTAAAATAAGTGGGATACTTGTAATGTTATGTACGAGAGTGTTACCTCTAATTTTCGGCACTTATATGACCTGATTGTGTTGCAAGTGCCGTGAAACTCTTACTAAAACCTCAAGGAAACTGACCATGCGCTTGTTGTGTGTGTTCACAGGCTGACCCAACCGCTACTGTGGAGAAAGAGATCAGCCGTGTCGGGCCCGGGGGCTATTTCGGAGGTGAGATCTGCTGCTTTTTTCCTCCTAATTTATACCATTAAAAAAGAAAAGAATCTGTTTATTCGTTCGTTCGTTCGTTCGTTCATTTTCAATAATTCTCTTATTCATTCATTCATCCAATCATTCATTCATTCGTTCGTTCGTTCGTTCAATCATCCATTCATGTATTCATTCATTCATTCATTCTTGTATTCATTCATTCATTCTTTTTTTTCTTTCATTCATTCATTCATTCATTCATTCATTCATTCATTTATCGAGAGAACCCTCGGTGGTCTCAACTCGTGTTGTGAAGGGGTGCTCCAACTGTCTCTTGCTCTTTGGCTTAAGGTCAGCAAAGACTTACGTGGGTGGGTGGCGGGTGCTCTGGTGTGGTTTTCTCCTTCTTTTCTATCAAACGGTGTTTTTTTTTTTTTGGGGGGGGGG